CATCATCACATTCCTCAACCCCTCTCTCCCTCCTAAGACTGTCCTTTCATGTGCACGGCTCTCCACGGCAGCTCCTTTCTAAAGACGGGATTCAAACACAGCTTCATATTTTCTGAGCTCCTTTGATTGCCCGCTTGAAGAGTCTGGATTAAACGCACTCAGAACATACACCGAGACTCAGACAAGGCCCCCACAGTGTACATTTTTACACAAAACGCATAAAAATATCGTGCACTAAAAACTAACCGCGCATTTCTTCCACGAATACGAATATCCACACCATACGAATGTCTATACGAATATACTTGTATATCCATATCCATACGAAAATATTTGTACCACGAATGCGAATATTCATACCACGAATATATTTGCATAATGAGCTCCCATCTGTCGCACAAAGTCGATATGAACGACGTTCCACAGTCGCACTTCAATAGCTGTCCGTTGGTGAATTCTGCAAGCAGAAGATACCTTGCAACTGGCATGTCATGTGACCTGTCGCATAATCAGGAAGCAAAATAATTTATGGTTCTCATATCCCTTTCCTGGTTCGACATGACCATCGACTGTATAAGTATTCCTAAGCCGGTTCGCAGTGACAATAAGTGTGTGTAAGTGTCCCTCAATTCAGTTCCACCTTTAGACCCGGCATTTTCCATCAACCTTTGTCCCCACCCTCTTTGATCCATTTGCATGATAGCGGCTCACATCATCGCAAGTCTACTGAGTTATCGCTTTCTTCCCAAATAGTACCACTCTTAACAATGCAGCTTGTATTCTCTTCTGAATCTGATGACGCCTAGCAACCTAGGAGTGGCTTACTTTTTTAAAAATTGTACTCCAACCAACCTTCCTTCTGTAACTATAGCCGATATTTGCTTTCTTTGTTGAGACATATTTTGTAGAAATTCACATTTAGCCGCATAAAACAACACTCGGGTTCTGGGCACACAGACGCGGGACATTTTCCGGACTCCTGTTTAAAGCAATATTCGAGGTCGCGCATAAACGAAGCAGACTGGTTTTGGCTGGCACATATAGAGCATCACGCTGTTTAGCGCTGTACGCCGGCAAAACCAACTCACCCCGGTGAGGAAATTCGAGCGCTCGTATCTTTCAATTAGCACAAAATATTAATTAAAAACAAACCCACAAGATGTAAAGCGAATTTGGCAGAGACTGCTAAAACTGGCACTGAAATGGAACGCGAGCCGATAACGATTTCAAATCTCCTTCGGAGAGAAAAGCCGGGGGAATTTTTAATTCGACAATTCATGTGTATGAAGATAACTAAAAATGAATACTTTATAAGTGGATCCAAAATGTGGTGACCGAGGAGGGGAAAAATGATGCTAGCTGCAATGAAGAACTGATCCACTAAAAATGAATTTTTCATACAGCGGCAGCTGATATTCGCCAATTCTTTTTCTCTTTATGAATGGAATGGTACTAGGACTGACCCCGCAAGAATAAAAAATGCGATGAAAAAAAACTTGCCCTAAAACTTCAGCCTCCTAGACTCCGAGGAACTTCAGCCTCCTAGACTCCGAGGTTCCTGAGATATTAACTTACCCGTGACCTACCCGTAAAAAACTTTCATGGGGCTGTACCTATTACCCGCGGGTAAAGGAAGGCTGAATTTGAATGGGCAAGGTTGAGGGTGGACAGGGGGTCATTGCCCTAAAACTTCAGCCCCTGAACTCTGGGGTTCACGAGATATTAACTTACCCGTGACTTACCCGTGAAAAGCTTTCATGGGACCGTACTTGTTACCCGCGGGTAAGGGAAGGCTGATTTTGAATGGGCAAGGTTGAGCATGGGCAGTGGGGTTACCCGCGGGTAAGGGAAGGCTGAATTCGAATGGGCAAGGTTGAGGGTGGGCAGGGGGTCATTACTCTAAAATTTCAGCCTCCCAAGGGAAGGCTGAATTTGAATGGGCAAGATTGAGGGTGGGCAGGGGGTCATTACCCTAAAACTTCAGCCTCCTAGACTCAGGCTGAATTCGAATGGGCAAGGTTGAGGGTGGGCAGGGGGTCATTATCCTAAAACTTCAGCCTCCTAGACTCCGTGGTCCCCGAGATATTTACTTACCCGTGAAAAACTTTCAGGGGGCCGTACGCGTTACCCGTGGGTACGGGGGCAGATATTTACTTACCCGTGAAAAACTTTCAGGGGACCGTACGCGTTACCTGTGGGTACGGGGAAGCTGAATTTAAATTTGCAGGGTCACACGTGGGTGGGGAACATCCCCCTAAATTTTCAGCTTTCTAGCTTTTGTGGTTCCCGAGTTGAAAGTTGCGGACAAGTTGCTGCGTTAAATTTTCAGCTTCATAGCTTTTGTGGTTCCCGAGTTGAAAGTTGCGGACAAGTTGCTGCGGGAAACGTTACCCTAAATTTCCAGCTTCCTAGCTTTTGTGGTTCCCGAGTTGAAAGTTGCGGACAAGTTGCTGCGGACACAAACGCATACAGACAACCCCGTAACAATGTGCGTTTTGTACTGCTGTTACACAGCACAAAACGCATAAAAACTAACACGGGGGGCGACGATTGTACTGGGCGGCCGCAAGCTCGGCACTGTTCGCTGTCGCTCTTGCTGCTGAAGGCCTCCGCGATCCGTCATTATTGCCAACGGACAGTGTCCAAATTGCAGTCAGCCTCGTATTTCCGCGCGTCACCTTCCGAAAATCGTTCCTGTTCTACTCCAGCTGCAAGTTGACTCTGAAAGCATAAGAGTCCCACACACGGATGCCCCAAATACCCGAGCAAACACCAAAAAACCGCCCACTCCACTCCTTGCCTACGTTTTCCCACTAAACCATGACAACCATAAACCAGAACAGTTAAACAAGGCACTTTGAAGGTACCCAGCAACTGGACAACTGTGCCGGCCAGCCGCTAATGTTCCTGAGAACTGACCAGGCTGCAGTTCGCCCCAGCTCATTAGCTGAAAGGTTGCAACCGACGTCGCACGCACCGGACTATGTCACCGCGGGTACGGCGTGGCTGAGCTGAACGGCAGTAACTAAACTCTGGCGGGCACTAAAATTCGGCTCCTGTCTAGACTGCAGTTCGCCTCAGCTCATTCGCTGATTGGCTGCAACCAACGTCGCACGCACGGGACGACGCCATCGCGGGTGCGACGCGGCTGCAGTAACTAAACTTCGGCAGGTGCTAAAAGTGGGCTCCTGTCTAGACTGCAGCTCGCCCGGCTCATCAGCTCATTAGCTGCAACCGACGTCGCACGCACCGGATGACGTCACCGCGGGTGCGGCGCGGCTACAGCAACTAAACTTCGGTGGGCACTAAAACTCGGCTCCTGCCCAAGCTCCAGTTCGCCCCAGCCTGTTAGATGATTGGCTGCAACCGACGCCGCACGCACCGGATGACGTCACCGCGGGTGCGGCGCGGCTGCCATAACTAAACTCCGGCAGGCATTAAAAGTCGGCTCCTGTC